TATTGAATTGATGAGGTTGTTGGCATGCCCCATGCATGATGTTTGGTGCATAATAAAGATAGTATAGGGTTTGATGCTTGCATAATGAATTAGTATAAGGAGGGTTCGGTAAATTGAATAAAATTATATTATATATATATAAAAAAAAAATACATATATATATATATAATATATTCGGGTCGGATTCGGGGACGGATACGGATTGAAGACCCCTATAACCATATCTAAAATCATAACTGAATAAAGTTCACGGTTTTTCCCCATATCCATACCATACCCGAATTTTCATATCCAAATCCAATCCATTCGGATGGTTATCCACGGTTATCGGGTTTAACAGTTATAATTGTCATCCATACTTTTAAAAGGTGATAGACATGTACCTAGAAATTCAAAAATAAGAAAAGACGATGATTGTTGAAATGGATTCCCACATGCGTGAAATGGATTAAAGTCTCGTAACATGATGAGAGTTAGAAAAACTACGCGCGACTTACACGTTTTAAATGTATTCATATGTGTGAATTGTTTTAATAATTCTTTTTAATCACAAAAAGAAAGTCAAATATTTGAAGTAAATGAATAATATTAGACTATACTAGAAGAAACCCCTCATAAACCAACCAAAGCAACTAAATCCATATAATAAAATCGGTCTTTCAATTTCTATCTATATTCTATTGAATTTACATTAAGAATAGAGAAAAAATATTTAATAAGCAACTTATTGAATCACATTACTGCTAGCTCATTGTGAAGCTAAGCTCACCCCCTCCCCCTTAGTGTAGATAACATCGTTTGTTCAAAAAAAAAAAATCATTTGACAACTAATTGAATCACATTATTATGCACGTATGAAAGACATTTTTTATAACTGGCATTACGCGCCTCTTAAGTGTTTAAAAATAGAGTAAAACTGTACAAAAAGAATTAATTATTAAAAAACACCATTTATATAATGAAAATACCCCTGCATTATTTTAGGCTGCTTTTGAATTTTTCATTTAGAGGGCATTTTTGTCCAAAAGTATTCATACATCATATGGATTTACAAATATATAATTATTAGGGTCCAAAGGAAAGAAATCATAGTTACCCGCTAATATTGATCCTATAGTCTCTTCTTCTTTTTTCTTTTCTTTTTTTTTTTTTAAATTTGATTTTGTACAATATTGAAGTAGTTAATCAAGTTTAATAATTGGCACATCGTTGCATTGAATTTTGAGCCCTCTGTGATGAATTCAAAGTTTGGTGTCTGTGTCTTTGTTGATTGCTCCTACGAAACCTTTGCTTTGATTGTTCTCGAGAATTGTGAACATTTATTTGCCCCAATCGAACTTCTTCATTGCCGAATTTGGATTCTCAAATCGTGTTCGTTCATTGTACATCGTATGGTTAGAAATTATTTTAGATACTTTTATTTAAAATTAAACATCAACAGTACATGACGAAAACTAACCGCACAATATACAATGAACGATCACAATTTGATGATCTCCGGGATCCTCACAAAGAGGATCCTCATCCGTCATTGCCGACCTATACGAAGAAATTGCAAAAGAGAATGAATTTTTGTTTTTTTAAAAAAGGAAAAAAAAAATCATATTGAACTACAACGAAGGTGCAATTGTAAAATCTCCAACCAAAATACAGGTTTAAGTCTTATGTATTTTGATCCGAGTGAAAAAAAAAAAAAAGAAAAAAAAAAAAAAGGTTTTGTGTGAAGGTAAGTGAAACCTACTAATATAAAAAAAAATTGAAACATTATGCAACAAAACACTGAAATTTTAGTCAATAAAAAATAGAGAGAAACGCAATTAAGATGACAACCTGTGATATATTGCTCCTATCACATCCCTCCATACTTGATCTGTTGAAGTCCACTTGGAATTTTTCGTACTCCTACATGAACAAAAAAAAAAGAACAAGATAATTTATTTTTGAAAAAAGAAAAGAGAACATGAGGACTGTGAATTGTCAACAGTTAAGTAACATATAAAGTGATGTTAATAATAAAAATTCATGTCAAATATTTCATACAATACCATTTATGTGTATATTGTGAGTTACAAATATTATCCTTTGGTTTGGCCAATTTATTTGGCAATGAGTGAATATTAGATATCCATGTTTTTGTTGCACTTGGAAGCAAGTTTGAGTAGCAGGGGTTTAGGAGTCACAGCATGCGGCATATAGAGTTTTTCCCATGCATATTTGTGCATGCATAACGATATTTTTACTACCAAACATTTCGTTGAAATGGAAGACAAACACTAAAACACTTCGTACATGTTCAGGTTTAAAACTTTTATATTATCGTCCGAGTGGCAAAGTGCTTTTTGTGAAGGTAACTGAACCATACTAATGAAAATTGAAAGCCATTAGCTAAAAAGGATTGGATAGGATTCTTAATGGAAAATACATTTAGCTAAATCTAGCTAAATCTTACTTACATTTTGTCAAGGACAACGGCCTCTGTGTTGGAAGATCCAGAAAATGGTTTCTTTGACTCATTTTAAAAATGAACAAATTTAAATAGGCATTTCAGGAAAGAGCAGCTGCTGATCTGCACGCAGGGAGGAAAGAAAATGAGTTGTTTTTTCAAAAAACATTTACAAGGGAAATGTTATTAACACTTAAAATTTTTCATTTTACATTTGCTTGTAAGTGTTTGGAGTGTCAAATAAGATTTTTGAAGTACTAATAACAATTCTCAATTATAATAAAAAATAATAATTATTTAAAAAACATTGTTTATATGACGAAAATACTCATGTATTGTTTGATACATTATTTTGGGCTGTTTTTAAATTTTTTTTGTTTTAAGAGCATTTTTGTTCAAAAATTTTTTGGTGAAGCAGTGACACCAAATTGGCCTACTGGCTTTATATATATAGAGAAGATGTTGGTAGTTGGTCTTCACCGTTCTGCCAACTTTTTTTGATAGCCACTTTTTTCAGAATCACCTTAGTATCAAATTAGGGCTTCATCTGTGACATCCCGTTCCAAGATTTATTATATTTTATTCTCAATAGTGGTTAAATTATTAAAATATCCCTTAGGTGCCACGTAGGTCTTCCATGTGGATCTCAATTTTCCTTGTCACTTTTTCACTCCTATTTTGCTACTTCCAAATAGTACTCAGTTTTACAAAACTATGACCGCAGACGGAACTTAATCTGAAAATATAACGAACAAGTTATATTCGAAATAATATAAATTTTAATTTTTCTTGTGCAGAGTGCATCACTTCCTTATTGTGATGAGAGACTGATTTTGGGAGGCAGATTTTCTGCCCTCTCACTTTTCGTGCCCTTCTGTTTTGTATGATCACGATTAAGTCACGTCAATATTTTATATTATTTTTTTTTTATAAAGATAATAAGACAAAAAAATAGTAATATAAAATGTTGACGTGACTTAACAGTGATCATACAAACACGAGGCACGGGAAGTGGGAAGGCAGAGAATCAGCCTCTCTGATTTTGTGGCAAATGATTATTAAAATATTGTTTTGTTTGGTTTTTGAACACCCTACTTTTTCACTCCATTAGACACCATTATTAACTTTTTAGAAAGTTTTAACGAAAAATTTCCGATACTGTTCATTTTAAAGGAAAATCATATTTTTACACTAAAAAATCAATTATGGTAATATTCACTTTACCCTTTATTTTATCTTTATCTTTAGAGCAACTCCACCGTGTGAAACCTCCCCCAGGCAATACACTATGTTATCCATCCAGTGAACAGTAATTACCCTAATGAACAGTAATCGCCTTTTGCATCTCTATCGTTGCACCAATAGCCCTGGCAATAGGTAATAAAATATTAGTATTTTTTTATTTATAAAATAATACAAAATAATTTTAATTGTAATTTCGGATAAGATTTTTAATCGTTCTCGTTGCGTCACATGTCATTATCGGAAAAATTATTAAATAATACAAAATAATTTTATTTGTAATTTTGGATAAGATTTTTAATCGTTCTCGTTGCGCCACCTGCATCAGTAGTCATTTTGTTGAAAAAAAAATTGGATTGAAACTTTGAGAGAAAGATAAGAATGTGATTGAAAGTAGTTGAGAAAATATGAAATTGTGGTGTAAGGTAGATGATAATGAGAATGTTTTATAGAAAAGTAAAAACAATTTTTTTAAAAAAAATTGCAGATTTTTATTCGGATTTTTTACAATTTTTTTTTAAATTTTTATTCAACTAATTAATATCCGCCGTTGGATATAAAAAAATTTGAATTCCAACACTCCAGATTGTGCCACTTGTCACAACGGTAACTTTTCTTAATTTTAAAACTATTTTTTCTTTTATTTATTTATTTATAAAGCATATTAATATCGACTGTTGATCTCAGATCGAACGGTTGATATTAAATAAGATTTTTTTTTTTTTTTACCATTGAGATTGAACGGTCCAAGTTAAAAGCCGTTGAGATCGATCGGACCGTGGGAAGCCACGTGGCTTCCCAACAGTAATGTTTCAATCTGAAAAGTTAGCTGCTTTTTCTGAAATTATGTCTGGCGACGCGCCCCCACGCATGAGTGGGGTGCACGCGCCTGACAGAAAAAATAAAAAAAGGGCCTGACGCAGGGCTGACATCAGCCCTGACATCACATCCACTCGGGTTGGCAATTCTTCACAGGCCCGGAGCTCGAGCCTCCACCTCCACTCGGGCTCCTTCATGCTGGAGCGAATCCACAGGGCCTCGGGCCATTTTCTCTGGCTTGTCCCCCGAGCAATCCACCACGGTGAAGTTACTTTTAAAACTCAAAGTTTTCAAACTCTTTTAGTTAGTTTTCTTTGCATTTTATTAAATCTCTCTCACTTCTTCTCTCATGTCCCATTCCCCAATTTTATTTTATTTTTCCCCATGTCAGGCTGTCAGCCGGTTCTCTCCCTCTACCTCATCCTCTTTCTCACGCCTCATTTTTCTTATTATTTTATTATTTATTTTCTCTCATTTCAACCGGTCCCATCTCACTCTCACCTCTCTCACAATTTTCCCTCACATCTTTTCTTTTTCTCTCTCTCTCTGACACACACACCTCACTTTCCCGGGCACTTTCCACTCCGTCACGTCACTCCCTCTCTTTCCACTCATCTCTCGCTTCCCTCCTTCATTTTTCTGAAGTTCCTCTCTCTAATTCTCTCTAACTCTCACTCTCTCCAGAGCTCTGAGAGCTCTCGTCCCCTTTCCTCTTTGAAATTTAAACAAACCAAACTCCAAAACCATGAAACCTTAATCTCTGGGACTAGAGGATCCTACCTAGACCGTTGCATGCGTCATTGGACCATCACGGTGTAAACCACCATTGAAGCCGAGAGCTTCAAGCTCTGAAACTCGAACCCAGGTAAGTTTCTCTATGAAAATGCTGTTTCATTATGTTTTAATGTTTCTTGGGACAAGATTTGTGATGTTTTCCAGTTCGAAACCAGAGGTTTAACCCCCCCCTGCAATTTCTCTGAAATCTTGCCTAGTTTTTGGTCACCTCCTACGAGCAAACTCCGGCAAGTTTGTGTGCTCTGGAGCTCCTGCTTAGTTTGAATCCATTCCAGGTACTTAAATACCTCTTTGGATGTGAAAATTAGTTGGAAATTACTAAGGTTTGACATGCATGCATACTGTTTTTCCCCATTTCCAGAATCCGGCGAAGAAACCCGGCCCTTACAGGCCATTTTCCGGCCAAATGCGACCACGGACGAGAACCCCAATGGTATATTTCGTTAATCACGTTAGGTGTTAGAAATTGTACAATGTTAGAATATGCTTGTTTGGTGGGAAATTTTAGAAAGAATGATGCTGTACTGTTTCTACAACAAGGACCAAACTGTAAAAATTGTTGAAGCTTTAGGGTTCTTTGGTAATTCTAGGAAGTTGGGGTCATTTTTGCAATTACCTCTAGTTTTTGGGGCAATTTTTGTAAAATGTGAAAGTTGGACAGATTATAGTTAATCTATCCATTTTGTGTATTAATTATGTTTAAGTATTTTGTTAAGTCAATGTGACTTGGTATAGGTACAAACTTATTCAGTTTGACGAATGACAAGGCATATCGAGAGCAAGCAAGTTATGGGTATGTGATTGGGTCTTTTCGTTTTTACGTGTGTGTGTATATATATATATATATGTGTGTTACACTTTATGTTTTTAATATTATTTGTGAGCATAAACTCATGGCATGACATCCTTGCGTTTTACCTGCACATTATTACATGTTTGCATGGTGTCTTTTAGTTATTTGTACTGTCCTGAGCCAAGGACAAACTTCACGTGTAGTTCACATGCACCGCTTACATTCGCTTTGGATCTAAAGCTAGGTGCCAGCCTCTCATTTTGTATGATGTGTTGGACTTGTATGTGATGCGACTAACGCAGCTCACGTGATGTAATACTAGAATGTAAAACATACACCTAGCCTGTTCCATTGTTTGAATACCTCTGCAATGGACTTGTGTGTCTACATAAATTAATGAGCATTGATTTCTTATGATATTGATTTGAGATTTAATGTTGAGGAAGCTTATTGATGTACCCTACATCTTTTAACTCATTTTTGTTGCAGGTACCGTATTATTATTATAATATTTTTGGAAAACCATATACTTGTTTTACAGCAAGGAGTTACACTTTTCAAAAAGGTTTTACAAAACTTTATTTTCAAGCCTACTCACCCTTGTTTTTCGCCCCTCTAGGATTTTAGTGGCAGAGGTTTTGTGATGAGGAGGATTGCTCTGACATCAATTGTGTGATATGAGTTCAATCTCATTCATATAAAGTTTGATCATATATCCCAGATCCTCTCTTATTTTCATTACCCGGGCAATCCCATCTCGAGAAGCTTGCTTCATTGCCCAAATATAATCCAGCAGCTTCTGCTAACTTCACCATTTTCCACTCACTGAAAGGATACGATGTCTTGTGTCACATGAATTTCTCCCCTTGCAGATCAGCGAACCCCCAAACCAACTTCTGATGAACCTGAATAATGCAGGATTTTAGTTTAAAGATGCATCCCTTTAAAAATTAAGTCTCACTTGAATGAATATTATTGCATTAGCCCATCACATATTTGATCCCTCTCTCGCAATATGTGCATGTATAGGACTTCTCCTTTCCAGTTCTGCTACCAGCATGGTTGCAACTTATCTGGTAGCGGAACTGGAAAGGAGAAGTCTCCTTCTCCGACAAAGAGTATCTTCTGGGAGCTGCTGGAATGCTTGATCCTTTTGTCCAAGCTAAACAATTCCATTTTCTTGCCTTTAACTTACTCGAAACTTGCTAGCTACATCCAAAGGCGAATCACACTACTCGAAACTTTCTCCGAATTGTTTTTCTGTTCTTTTCTGAGACTAAAACTGTTCGAGCATTTTTTTTTTCTCCAGTAATCTTGCTAGCTACGTCCAAAGGTGAATCGCACTACTTAATTATACAAGAGTGGCAAGCTAGGGGGCAACATTTATGATTCCTAATCGAAAGGTCTCTCTCTTAGTTTTCTTTCCCAGTCTTTATGTTCCATGTAGTTTTACTTCTCTATCTGTGGCATTCATGACCACTAAACATTACTTAATTTTTGTGAATTCATGCACCTTATCTGATTTAAATACTCAAAATTACGAGATACTACAATCATGTTACTGAAACAAATCTTAAAACAATGAAGGGAAGGAAAAAAATTGGCACGCGAGATGACAAATTTTCCTAAAATATACAAATGGTTCGTCTGACTATAAATTTTCAACGCGACTCACAAACAGACCATAACTAGTTACGAAAGTTCAACCTGCCTCCAAACTACTAATCATGTGTTGTTTATGAATTTATATTTGTTGAGTTTTGTCCAAATTCTAAATATATTTTCTTCTTCCAATCCCATGGTTTTAGTCTCCTCCAACAATCCCCTATCGCTCAAGCAGAAAATGTTAAAGTTGTTTATATATCGCTATCCATAAGAGATGGTTTGCCAAGTTCACTAGAATTTGAACCAACAAAACACTTGGAACTCTCTTGAGCTTGGCTCTTTTTACGTTCTTTTTTGGGAAATTTCTGTTTTTACTGTAAACATTTTAGTTAATTTTACGGTTTGTATATAAATACTACAAATCTTCTGAATCCGTTATTTTGTCAAGCTCAAATTCTTCTCTCCGTAAATTCGATGAGTATAAAATATCAAATTATCAATTGTCAAAAAAAGGAGAATAATTCTAAATTTTTTTATTTTTCTTTTAAAATATACTTTTTTTTCAGATGTCCAAATGATTCAACGGGTGGTGAACTATAAACAAAACAATGTTGACATTCAAGCTGCTAATACATACGTTCACAAAAATATGAACAGCCATGGAATATGTGCACCCGGCCACCCCGGGGGCCGGAAAGATATCGACACATTGCAGATATAGCCCGGGTGAAAAAAAAGAAAAAAAACAAAAAGACGAAATGAAACGATAATACAACATTAATTCTACAACAATGTCGCTGCTCTGACAGAATGGCTGGGATGTAATGGGACAACTCGGCCGTCAGAGTTCAGCTTCAGAAAACAACTTATTTGCGAGTTGTAGGTACTTCACAGCAGAGTCAACGGTAAGTTTTGATGCACCATACCCCTCTACCTCAGCTGCAGTTGTCTCATAGCTGATCTCAATGCTGACGATCGGACAAATATTAAGTAGAGCAGTTATGTGATCTTTGCTCCAAACACCATCATTTCTAGCAACAAGGGCCTACACAAGATTAAAACAGACCATTAGCTAATAGTAAAATAGTGAGCACTTTCACACTTAAAAACAGAGAACAGATTTTGAGAACAGAAAAATGTTTCATGCGGAGGTTGCATTGCAAAAAACCGTAGCACTTACCTGCATTACAATACCAGCCACAGCAACAGCACACTGAGCAGCTTCAGCCCAAGACTGCATTTCCTGATGTGCATCACATAAATGCAGTAACCACATTATGTGAAGGTCAGGGACAGGGCAAATGCCATAGCAAGTCTATAGAAGCTTTCAGCAGCTGCATATCTATCCATAGTTATCAAAGAGCCCTGCAAACCAATAGCCGGTATTACAACGTAAATCCAAAAGCGTCCCCTCGTCTCAACATTTGTCAGAAGAACAAGAAAAACTTAGGGCAACCCAATTTCGGGAAATAATATATTGTTTCTGTTCAGAAGAAAATGAAAAAAGCATGGTGGGACAAAGTTGTAATTTAAACATAGGAGGACATGGCAATCAGTCGTAAATTTTCCTTAATTATGAATAGGATGGGGCATGAGAAACCACATGAAGCTTCACTACATTAGTTTTAAACTCAAAAACAGAAAGCCAAAGATAGTGGTACTTATTTTATCATTGTCAAACTGCTTCTATTTTTAGGCACAGAAATCAGTGGCTCGGTAAAGGAATTTCCATTGTCTATAGAGAAAAGTATTACTTTCGAAAATATTAGAAGTTCAATGCCTACGACAAAAAAAAAGAACCTAGTAAAGAACCAAAGCACCTGGTAACACAAGATACAGATGTATATTCCCTAACAAACAAAGTTGATGTAGGCATTGTCAAACTGACCAGGAGTGCATGTTCCAAGCTGGCAGCAAGAGCAAGAAGAAGCCTGTCAGCCAGAAATTTCACTTCTGACCAGGACCATCTATTTTCTGTCATTTTTTCTGGAATTTCTAACAGAGCACCGTCAGGAACTCTACACTCTCTCAACAGACTGGGGCTCTTAGCTTCATCTGCCACTTCGTCAAGTGACTTTCGAAGACGCCGTGCTTCACCACTCTCTTCTAGTGGTCCATCAGCTTTCATCTGAGTCACTTGTACTTCAGACATCAACTCAGACGATGTGATGATCAGCATGACCCTCAACCTTGCTGTTTGCATAAAGTAATAGAAAGAACTCTGCAACAAGAAAAAAAAAAACGAATGGGAATTATTTTTTATGTTGAAAATTAACGGGAGCATACAATGCCAATGTGTCAGGGAAGCCTACCCTCATAAGCATTTGGAGCCCAATAACAGCCCTTTTTCTGATACAGGCACCCCGAGCATCTAAACCACTTTGTTTGTTAAAACAGGCACCCCGAGCATGGAATTCCAAATTTACAAGTTACTTACCGTCCCTTGGATTCAAAACTTCATTATCAGACACCAGTTTGTTTGTTAAATTAGATGATGGTGATGTAATCATTCTATTATTGTATGTTGATGACATTATATTGATTGGTTCATCCATATCAAAGATTCAAGCAGTTATAAATACTCTTGCTGAGGTATTTGAGCTCAAAACATGGGTCGACTTATGTATTTGAGCTAAATGATTCTTGCCATTGCAGCATAGTGTGGGTGGACATTAAGGTAGCTTGATGTTAAGAATGCATTTTTGCATGGTGATTTGGTTGAGGAGGTGTATATGGAACAACCACATGACTTTGTTGATGGTACACATGCTAATCATGTTTGTAAGTTGGTTAAGTCTCTTTATGGCTTAAAATAGGCACCCTGAGCATGGAATTCCAAATTTACAAGTTACTTACCTTCCCTTGGATTCAAAACTTCATTATCAGACACCAGTTTGTTTGTTAAATTCGATGATGGTGATGTAATCATTCTGTTATTGTATGTTGATGACATTATATTGATTGGTTCATCCATATCAAAGATTCAAGCAGTTATAAATACTCTTGTTGAGGTATTTGAGCTCAAAGACATAGGTCGACTTATGTATTTCTTAGGGCTCCATATTCAATATCAACCAAATGGTTCTTTATTCATTAGTCAATCCAAATATGCTAAAGAGTTGTAGGTCAAGGTAGGAATGGAGATTGTAAGCCTACTTCAACACCATCTAAACCACTTACTCAACTTCTTGTTACAGAAGGTACACCATTGTCCGATCTAGTCTTTACAGAAGTCTAGTTGGTGCCTTGCAATATTTAACACTTACTTGTCCAGATATTGCTTATTTAGTTAATATGGTATGCCAATTCATGAACAATCCTACTGAGTACATTTTCACATGGTTAAGTGCATGCTGAGATATTTGAAGGGACTTTGGACTGTGGTCTGAAATACAGAAAGAGTGAAGATATCTCTATTACTAAGTTCTCTTATTCAGATTGGGCTACTAATATTAACACAAGGAGGTCTATTACAGGCTATGTGGTGTTCCTAGATACAAATCCAATATTGTGGCAATCTAAGAAACACGATACTGTGTCCAGATGCTCTACTGAAGCATAATATAAAGCTTTGGCTCATTGTGTAGCTGATGTCTTCTGGATTAGATCACTTCTTAAAGACATTCATCAATTTTTGCCTTCTCTTCCTTGCTTGCAGTGTGATAATATTTCTGTTCTTGCAATTTGTTCAAATCCTTTGTTTCACTCCAACATTAAACATTTAGACACCGATTACCACTTTGTTAGGGGAAAGTTCAAAAAGGCGATCTTAAAGTTTAATACATTCCAAAAGATGAACAAGTTGCTAATGTGTTTACTAAAGGGTTACATGGTCCTATTTTGTCAAGCATTGTCATGCTCTTGATTTGGGGTCTGGTGCTCAGGCTTCATCGTCTATAGTTGCCATTCCTTCTTCAACTGTTGCTCCAACTTGATGAAGTTTCTGAGGCACAATGTTTCATGGTTTCTCTATGCATGACTCCAAACTCAGCAGTGATATTCCCAGCCTCGTTTGAGGGGGGAGTAATAGCTATATATATATACATACATACACTTATCATGTTTGTATTGGCCTAGTCAGTTAAAGGTGGCTAAGGGTAGTTTTGTAATAAGTCATTGTATGATTACTATATAAAAACCCTCTTGTACAACTCATAGAGGATTATCTTGCAATACAATAAATCTTCCTTATTTCTTTATGTCTAAGTTTTCCTGCTTCTCCTTTCTCCTTCATTGCTCTTCACTGACACAACCTTGAGAGTTATCAATTTTGACAAAATTCTGACGAAGTTGACGAAAATGGTCATAGCTACACGTTTTGATGAGTTGAGGGATCCCAATTGTAGCAATAGGTCGCTACAACATAACTCATTTTGATAAAATTCTGACGAAGTTGACAAAAATGATCATAGCTACATATTTTGATAAGTTGAGGGACCAATGATAATGAATTTTTAGTTGAGAGGACCATAGCTCATTTTTACTTCTCACACACCCTTATTAATTTTTGGTCACTGATCTTCTTCAATTCATTCAATCCAATGACCAAAAATTAAGAAAAGTGTGTAAGAAATAAAGATAAGTGTGTATAGTACTACCCTTCATAAAAACAGCTTATCAAAAAGTTGAGGCCTAAACTGCGTTTGGTGAAAAGAAAAGAAGCTGCATTAGTGACGAATTAAAAGAAAAAAAAATTCAGACAAAATTGTGTCATTGGCAGAAGACTCAGCCCTAGACATGCTAACAACAAATTGGATGAAAAAGTTTAAGTCCTTAATTTATCACGAATAATAGTTTAAAGAGTCAATTTTTACTAGGGTGATAGTTCAAGAGATCAAACAACAGTTTATCCTAATTATTGAGACAATCCTATTTATGCACACAAAACTAACAATTTGCTTGCATAGTAATTAATACAGACGGATCTCATATAAGATGGTAGGGTTTACTTCTATTATAGAGTGTCCAATTTTGTGTGTACAAATAATATTATTGTTAATTATTTTTCAAGAGCGGTGCTTAAAGTTGTATTAATTTAAGATATATATGGTATGGATGATTTGATTTGAATAAATAAGACACTATTTTAAAAATACTTGAAAGGTATACATGGAAAAATGGTGACCAACTTGGAGATATGAGACATTACTCTAAACGAAAAAAACTAGCTAATCCTTTATACCAAACAAGGCCTAAATCTTAGTGATGTCCTACATGCTAACGTCAAGTCGTTATAAGCTCACTCCAAAAGTGGACAGTGTCTACGTGAAACCATGATAAAATTGATGTAAATACAATCCAACATCTTCACTTCTTCATTGCTTCAAAATATTGAAGTAAACTTAATTGGGACAATTTTGTTCTGGTAAATTCCAAAAATCAACAGTCAGATAAGGCCTCAAGGGTCATTATTTGCAGATTGCTTGGCAAACTTGAAGGTGCTACACTTTCCCACAGGAAACTCCATAGAGCATTTGATCCCACTTCCTCTCCTGTTTAAATAACCTGGATAATCACATAGTGAGAACTCTGCTTCCTCGACCAAATGCAGCCCAAATTCTTCTGCCAACTCTACAATCTTCCATTCGTTGAAAGGATATGCAGTCTTGTGTGTCACATGAATCTCTCCACAGTTGGCTAGCATTTTATGCGCACTCTTGAAGTAATTTCTAACCAAATTCTGATGAAGCCTGAAAGTGCATTGCATGCAATATTATTTCACGTATACAGAGCTTTTAGTCTATTGGTACTTCTCGAACGTTAAGGTTATATATAAACTTACTCAATTTGGTACTTGTCATGTTCACGAAGAAAGAAACCAGCATGAGGAAAATTAAACACGATCCGATCAAATAGTTTATGAATCAGGAGAGGGTTTTGGCTCATGGTGTGGACGTCCACGTCATGCAGTACTAAGCAATCCCTGTCTTCTAACTCCTTCACGTTGCTCTTTGCACTTAAGTACTTAGAGAACAACAATTCTAAAAATTAATTAGCATGAATGCAAAGGATTAATTAATCAGCCAGGAAGAAAAATCTAATACAACAACAACAAAATTTTGCCCCACTAAAAAGGGTCAGTTGTATGAATCTTACAACGCCGTTACATCAAAAAGTAGAATAAAATGTTACCTTTGGAGTCGAAAGAAGTGGCAATCATGCTAGCAGCGGAGCCAAATTTTTTAGCTAAGCAGGCAGCGAAGGAGAAGTCACCCTCACCCACTAAAAGTATACTCTGAGAACTACTGTAATGTTTTATCTGTTTCTCTTGTTTACCCTCTTCCATTTGTCTCTTTTTTTTAATCTGAAATTTCTTAGAATTGTTTACTTGATCGTTGAAATATATAGAGTTGCAGGATGGGGCAACTGTTAGGCTCCCCATTTCATTTAAATAATTACCATTTATCACTCCAAATTTGTAGGCTTTACACGCATGTGCGCGTATGTTGGTAATTGTAGGGTCTCCTTGTTGGAAATTGGAAAACTACTAATTATGCTTAACCCTTGTGAATCCGTGCACCTATGAGCTAGATACTTAGGTACTCATTAGTGAGTATTTATAAGAAATATTTTTGTTCATTATCCTTAATTTATTATCGTTAAAGGAGTTAAAATTTTTAAAATTTCAAGATTTATATAATAGATAGACATCAATTTCAAAATCTAAATTCAATACATCCTACTTTATATACTGGCTTTTTGATTTTGGCCCAATAATACTTGAACACATTTTATTATTTTAAGAAATAACATATGTTATTTAATTTTCCTTGGACTTAAAAAAAAAAAAAAAAAAAAAAAAAAAAAAAAAAACAAACCATGATGCATCTTTTGATTGAGTCAAATCGGAATATAAGTAAATGATAGTACTTTAGTTGATGATGCATGTCTATGTTAAAGGGAAAAAAAAAAAAAAAAAGATACCAAGAAATTGAAGGGAAAAAGAAAAGTAGTCGAATTCAAACTAGCTTAGATAACTTTTTATCAAAATTCTTATGCAGTTTAAAAGTGTGATTATGAACTCGTGGAACACTTTTCCCTTATGTTTCTACATCTTATAAGAGAGGAATGCATGATAAGACCATTTTCAAATGAAATGTCAAATCTTAAGTGGAATGTCATGTAATCAAATTTGAAGGTAGAAGTAAGCTCTAACCGATATGGCAATCCTATGTGAATTGATATATGAGTTTTCATATGTCAAATTTGACGGAAGATGATCCTTTGCGGATCTACTTTGTGGGGATCCTATGGATCCCCACATCCTAGCAGTTCATCATACATCGTGCGGCCAGTTTTTGTCATGTACTATTTGTGTTTAATTTTAAATAAAAAAAGTCAAATGATTTTTGAAAGCATGATGAATGATTAAGATGTGACGATCCCTATGATCCCCACAATTTGGATCCGGATGGGATCCAAATCCAAATTTAACAAATGAGAAAAGGTGATGTCAATAATTTATAATTATTTTATTGTGTGGGTCTCATTAATGCATCAATTATAGATATTAAAAATTTATTTTAATTAATTTCTTTTTAAAATGAGTCCTACAAATATCATTTATAATATAAAAAATATCGGTTGGAAAAAGAGAAAATCTAACATTGCCACGTCAGCTATCAAATTAACATTTGACATTTATTTTTGACATCTCCTTTGGAGAGAATAATCTGGTTCAAATTCGCTTTTGGTAAGAATCAAATCTAAGGCCTCACACTTACAACTGAAGAAGAATATCCACTACACCGTAATACTAAGAGGCAGTTGCCTTTTTATTATCATCTCCAAAGATCTCGGTCAGAGCAGGCATATGCCAAACGTGAATACCCCCTGAAGCCACAGGCAAAACACCTGGCAGAGAGACCCAATCTTGAGTGAAATAAATACCGCGGCTTCGATCTTTTTCAATAAAATCATCACGTAGTAAATCAACAAAGCCTAAAGTAATCTCTCTTTCCCCCTCAAGTTTACCTACTACGGTACCAGCGTGTATATGATCTCCACCAGACATACGTAACGCTTTAGCTAGTACACGAAAGTGCATACCATGATTCTTCTGTCTATCGATAACTGCATGCATTGCACGGTGGATGTGAAGAAGTAGACCATTATCTCGGCAATAATGAGCCAAGGTAGTATTTGCAGTGAATCCCCCTGTTAAGTAATCATGCATTACGATTGGAACCCCCAATTCTCTGGCAAATACAGCTCTTTTCATCATATCTTCGCATGTATCCTTCTTTCGATACTTAATGGACCCATCACAATCTTTCACATGAGCGGATGGGCATGAAGTCTTGGGTTTAGCCTGATAAATTCAAGAGAAATAACAATTTTGAGGTGCTTGTTTGTGTAGAGGATATATAAAATTATATTCTTTACTGAAAATCAAGTTCCAGAATACAAAAAAACAACTTCTAAGGCCCTAAGTGTGATTCCAATTTTATAGTAATCAAACTCTTATAGTAAGCTGGAAAATTTGAGTTATATTATATGAGAGTAATTTCAGTTCTAAAATTCAATTTAGATGACAAAACTAGCACTCATGGAATATTCAGTATCTTCAAATTAAATTTCCCTAGTGTAGCCTTAAGTAAAGGGTGCATTTTTGCTCATGCTCACGACCCTACTTATTATCATTGAATGAATTTAAATGTTGAGATTAGTGTCTATCTTCTACACACATGTGGAAATTTAAACATACCCAAGGGTGATAAATAACATGGTGAGCTTCATCATCACTTGAGGATGGTGAGCAAAACTATTCCCTAAGTAAAACCCCTTCAGAGACTCGAGGATCAAGTTGCTGGACAAAAGGTAATACATGGTAAAAGGCACAAGATTAATACATCAATAGAAACTGCAGTTCATCATCAGAATAGGAATAGATACAGCCATATAATGTATTTGACTGGGATCATCCTACAATTGTCTAAAGAAATATCATCTTACAAAGCTTGGTCTTTGATTTTCTACTAAAAATCACATACAACAAAAAGCCAGGTACTGCCAAGTTAATGATCAAATTACAAGACCATCCTTTCAAAATTAAGCTGGTAAGTAAAACTTCTGAAGTTACAGGGAAAGAAACATGGGGACTCATGTTTCATGAAGAATCCCAATGCCTATCGATCGAAAAGCGTACTCTATACTACTTCTTACCAGCAGTCAATATCACTTTATGTCTAAAATGGCCTGCAAGAAAAACAAGAGTTGGGAAAAATGTTCCGTTACAATAAGTTAATGATGAAGATATGAAGCTGGAAATATAAGGTGACTGGGAATTATTTCCTTTCACGTGTACAAAATTATACTCATTTTCAATGCCCTATTTATGGAGGGACACCAAAAAAAATTTAGGCTCACGCGATGCAACTCGCTTGCTCATGCATGCAGTAATCAAAATCATCACAAAACTAGTCAAGAAAAACAAATTTGATATGGTGTGCTTACAGTTACATGTGAGGACCCTTAATTCCAGTATATCCAGACCATGGACCCGACGAAGTAGCACCAAGGTGGAAACCAGAAGTGGTAGAACGGTACAACATCTTGGCAAATTTGAAGGTGCTACACATTCCAATAGGAAAAGTTTGATCAGACATCCCAGCTCCTCTCTTATTTTCATAACCTGGGTAATCCCATATCGAGAATTGTTCTTCATGAACCAAATATAATCCAGCCATATAAGCTAACTCCACTATTTTCCATTCACTGAAAGGAAATGTTGTCTTGTGTGTCACATGAATTTCTCCTTCTCCGGTCAGCATTTGCCTTGCATTCTCAAAGAATCCCCTGACCAAATCCTGATGAAACCTGAAAATGCATGAATTTAGTCTAGAATTTGAGTCCTATGTTTACATTGTTGTGCTAGTGTTCTGCTTGCTATCGAAACAAAGTCATTCCAGTCCTTCGTTTAGTAATCATTCTCATATAAACCCTAAAAACCGGCTTTGCCCTTAAACAAACACCGTATGAGCACAAAATATACCATGACCTTAAACAAAAAGCTGCATAAATGAGTGTGTTTGAACTTACCAAATCTGGAACATGTTGCGTTCACAAGAACGGGAGCCATGCAGGTAACCGGCGTGAGGAAAATTATAGATTATGCGATCAAAGCGTACACTAATCAGGAAAGGGTGCCTGCTCATGCTGTGGACATCTACCTCATGCAAAACAATGCATCCCCTGGACTCTAATTCCTTCACATTGCTTATAGCTTTTGAATAATTCACCATTAACGACTCTACATTTAGCATGCAAATGATCAATCAGAACCCCTCAAGTTTAAACAAATTAAATATCAAATCTTTGTGCCCCTCTGCCTATTATTTCACCATTGATGAATTCTACAATTAGCATGCAAAGGATTTCAATCAGGATTCTGAAACCCTCTATAGTTTAAACAAAAAGATAAAATCTTTGGTCCCCGCAATCAATTATTTCATATGGGTCATCACCAAAATGTAAATTTTAGCACCAAATACAAAGTTAATTTGCAATATTAATACTAAATTGATTTTTTCATTTAAATTAAATTTCAACTCGGGTTTCTTCAAGAATAAAAGAATTGGGATGAAATTAGGACAAAGATTTAAAGTATTTGGATGTTGACACAAGTCAATGATGGTGACTCTGATGGAATTACCTCTGGAGTCAAGAGAAGTGGCAACCATGTTGACAGCGAAGCCAAAAGCTCTGGCTAAGCAAACGGCAAAAGAGAAGTCTCCTTCTCCCACTAACAGTATCTTCTGATAGCTGCTGTAATTCTTAATCCTTTTCTCAAACCTAAGCACTTCCATTTGACTGATTCAGTGATTCTCTTCTTCTTCTGCTACTTTCTCAGCATTGTTTTGCCTTGCTACTATTATTCTCCTCTTGGGAAACTACAAAAACTTTCGAATCTTAGATGAACGGGCACGATTAATTCATTCTCAAATTCTCACAAAAGGACTCAGAGATGATCCTGGTCCTTTTAAGTCCTTAAATAAAAGGAATATATTCTCTTCGGATCTCTTACATCAAATATCAATACTTAATTAATTCGAATTCTTAAAATTTGATTCAACAGTATAAACAAAAAACTTCTTAAAATGTTATAATAATTATAATCGTTAGATCAAATTTTAAAAATCTAAATTAATTAATTGGTAGGATTGATGGAAGAGATCGAAGGGCATCTCTTCCCTTAAATAAATTCTCAAAGTAACTGTGGAAGTCCAAAATAGGACGTTGCTGTGTCGCGTACGCGCGTTAGAGAAGCTTTGGGCCTCTAACTTCCTGGGGGACGCTTTCCTGTTTCAAATAATGGAGCAAAACATAAAAATCATGTACAGTTAAAAACGTGATGAAATATAAAATAATTTTTATTGGAACTAAATTGATGATACGTTATCACAAAGATTTTTATCACAAATGATATTTGAAATTAAACATCACTATTAAGATGGTCTCTAAAATTGAAAATCAATCAATATAATTCTTGAAAATAGGTGTCGCAAATCAATGTGGTCATTCCCTCACAATTCCGTAAAAATTTCTCACAAATGGTCATTGAAATTAATCCGTGACATCAAAATGGTTTCTAAAATTGACATGCGACATCAAAATGGTCACTAAAATTGAAAATTGATCAATGTAGTTCTGCAAGTAAATGCTTCAAATCAATGTAGTCATTCTACCACAATTCTGTAAAAAATTCTGTTATGTGCTGTGTGACACTTAAATGGATCACACAAGTCTAATTAAATTAAAAAAAAAAATTACAAATAGGTTTAGTAATTTAATAGTTAATAAAAAGTTGTGAAACCAAAAACCCAGTCCTACAATCACCTCCGATCTTAGTCCATATTTCTCTACCTCTGTTTATTCTGTAAAAAAAAAATCTCAATACACCCATCTTTACACATTTCGACATCCTTCATCGAATTGAATCTGGATCGATATCATCTTTGGTGACGGCTTGGCTGATTGGCAACGACTTTTGGTACATCACCATTAACATTTAGGCGATCAACATCCTCACAACCTTAATCTTGGAGAGCTTGTTCGGCACTTCCTTGGTGGTCTGATGACTTAAAGAACAGCGAGGTTTGCCTTAAGATAATGAGGTTATAATCGAGATGTGTCTATTGTTGGTTGAAAACTATTTCCAAACCCTCTTATGTCTTGGTTAAGCCTTGTACCTTTGAGAATTTATGGAAGAGATCTCTCTTCAGAGTAAGTCCTACTATAAGAAAAAAAATCTCTTGTGCAAAAAGGTATTTAGACAATTTTTTTAATTAATTATTAAACCCACATCAACACATGACAAAATTTTTTTACAGAATTGTGGTGGAAAAATCATATTGATTTGCGATACATATTTTCAAGCACTACATTCATCAATTTTCAATTTTATGGATAATATTGATAGTGTGGATCAATTTCAGAGACCATCTTGATATTGTGGTGGAAAAATCATATTGATTTGCGATACATATTTTCAAGCACTACATTCATCAATTTTCAATTTTATGGATAATATTGATAGTGTGGATCAATTTCAGAGACCATCTTGATATTGTGAGTTAATTTCAATGATCATTTGTGATAAAAACTCGTAAATCATGTGGGGCTCATTTATGTGTCACATCAGCACTTAACAAAATTTTTAACTGAATTATGACGGAATGACCACATTGATTTACAACACCTATTTTCAAGAACTGCATTGATTAATTTTCAATTTCAAGGACCATCTTGATAATGATGGTAAATTTCAAGGACTATTTGTGATAAAAACCTGTTAACACAATATGCTGGTAGTTGGTACTTCACTGCTCCGCCAATTTTTAGCAAAGAATGAGAATTCATTATGGGTTCTATATGCATTGATGTATAAAATGTGCAATTTTATCAAAGAAGCTACCACGATATATATTATGAATATACTCAAAGAGTTGAGTTATTGCATAACAGTATGGATTCAAACTTCGTTGATGACTAATCTAACAAAACTTCTTGTTTAACAAAAGAAAATGAAAAAAAAAAAAAAAAAGACCATGTCTAAGGGATGTGTAGAACCAGATATGGCATTCAAGCAATACTCGCAAGCTCGGCAAGGAACTGGTTGATATATATTCCTGAGCTTTATGGATTTGGGTTTTAATGTCCAGATTTATGCTCATGATGTTTCATCTATAAATTTATAGTCACTTAAGTCCCTGTTTTAAGAAA